TACATACATACATACATACATACATACATACATACATACATACATACATACATACATACATGCATGGCGCGCAGCACGCACTGCACGGCAACACGCACCGCGCACACGCCCGGCACCGCACGGCAGCGGCACCATGAGCCGTGCGCACGCACCGCACGGCAACGGCACCATGAGCTGCGCGCACGCACCTGGCAGCAGCAGCAGAGTGGGGCCCACACGACAGCTCATAGGGGTGGGCCCACCCTTATCTGGACACGTCAACTCGCTGCTAGCTTAATCTTATCCCTTATCCCTATCTTATCCCTTATTTTTTCCCTATCTTGTTTTATCTTCTTAAGTAAGAGTTATGAGTTTTAGTTTGAGTAGGAAATTAGGAGTTTTAGTTWGARTTGGATTACCCTARYCTAGCCGAATCCAACAAGGAATTCTCTTTTGTAATCTCCTATTTAAGGAGCTACGAATTGAAATAAAGGATTCAGTTTTCTAGTTAAGAAACGAGTGAGGAGAGTTTAGGTGGTCTCTTGGACAAATCACCCCAAGGGAGAGTTCGGGTGATCTCTTGGACAAATCACCCGCTAAATAGGCAAAATAGGGTCTGTGCGCAAGGCCAAAGGCAAGGAAAGATCAGGGTTTCCTGCCGTGGAACGACCCGTGACGCGATCCTACACTCGGGCCCATAACACATACATACATACATACATATATAATTTTTATTATATGTATAATAATATTATATATATAATTTTTTATTTTTTATATATAATAAAAATATTTTTTGTATGTATATATTTTATTTTTTTATAGGAAGATTAGTTTGTAGTCAAGCTTGAACTTGGAAACTTCTAAGCCAAACCGAATCCGAGCTAAGTCTCTAACTTGAATCAAACTTGAGCTCGAACTCAAACTTAACACTATCTTGTCAAGCCAAGCTCAAATAACTAGGTATTCAACTCAGCTCAGCTTGTATCCACTCCTAGTCGGAAAGTTGAATATATTTTGTTGGTATTCGGCGGAAGATTCAGAATACGTTGTGAATTTACCAACTCTAACCAATTAGCGGTAAAACAGATTACCTTTGGACTATGAAGAATAACTTTTCACCATGGAACATAATTGTTGGCATAGCCTGTAAAACAGATTACCAAGTTCAGTTAATCCTTTCTCAGTTCCGCACTGCATCAATATAGCATGGTTGCCAAGAGATTACGATTGATCACATAGTGAACCCAAGACCCCCTAGTGATTTTTTAACACACCAGTGTTTGGTGATAAAGATAAAGGGGTTGAGGGATTATAGTCTATAAGGGCAACTTTTAGGACCTAATATCAATAAAAATAATTTTTAAAATAAGCTAGTTTTTTTTTGAGAAGTATCAAATAGGGGATGAAACACTGTTCATCTCTTTCCTCCTTCAAACCACCGAACAAATCTTCCCCAATATTAATAAATATTGATCACAAATCTCTATTCATTTGTTCACCCTTATAATTGCTAGTTTGCTACAAACAAAAATGGCGAAGAAGAAGAAGGGAAAGAGATTCGTTTGGTCTGAGGTCACCATCTCTAGTGATTCGGGCTCCTCTCCCAGCATGCAAAGGTAGTAGATAGTATGTCTCTGGAGAGGAGCTCTTCATTGTGGACGAGTGGTGAAGAGATTGCGGCTCCAAAATATGCTATAGCCCGAAAATTTGTTGGTGATGCACTCTACGGTGATGGGTGCGTATAGTTCCATGATGCTGCTGTTAGATGTTACCACTTTGATCACCTCATGTACGCATCCGATGCCACAAATTGAAACACGCAGTTTCCCAGAAATACTACTATAATGTGTGTGTTGTGCCTTGTTCTTACCCTCTGCCTTCTTCTTTTCCTGAATTTGTTATTAATTTCTTCTCCTGAGAAAAATGATCAGATTGTGTCGGCGAGTTGCTTCGCTTCTCCACCAGACACATCAGGTCGGAGTACGAGAGGCATCTCCTTCTGCTTAACTGCTTTTGCCTCAGAAAAGAAAAAGAAAGGGAAGTGTCCTGCTCTGAGTTTGGAAAAACTCAAATGTGAAGAAGAAGAAGAAGGGGGAGAGAAAGATCGTAGGTGGGGAGATTTATTCGATGGACAGGAGGAATAAGGAGATGGACATTGTTTCTGCCCCTATTTGATATTTGAAAGAAAAAGTTAGTTATTGTAGAAATTATGTATAAAAGTTTACTTTTATTGATATTAGGGCCCAAAAGTTGTCCCTATCGGTTATAATCCCCTGAATATCTTAGAGGTTTTATTGTTTAATCCACCCCAATAAATCATAGTTCCACAGTATAATTGGGGTAAATGCCAGTTCGGAATTGATGCCAATACACAGGCAGGGATTGGTGTTATAAGCGGGGGTATTTTGAATTTTAAATTGTTGTAGGTCTGCAGTGAAATTTAGAATTCTGAGATGGAATGTAGTATAGTTTTTATAATATTTTAAGTATCCCTATAATTATTCAAATGGATAAAAAAATTCTACTATTTGAAAAGTTACTTAAAATATCCTTAAGTTTTTCAACAATGTTGATGAAAAAAAGTGAAATATTGAATATACCCTTCATTATTTCTCAAATTCTAAAAATAAAACCTAATTGATCAAAATTTTTTCATTTTCTGGTACTGCAAGAAGTCATGGAAAATTTTGGGGTCATTCTTTCGGCAATATCGTTCTGCCAAAAAGATCTCGATTCCATTCACAAAGGCATATGCGTTTGCAGTACCTTTTGGTTCAAAGATGCAGCTCTCAAACCGTGTTTGCAGTACCTTCTAGTTCAAAGATCCAACTCTCAAACGGTAACCATCGACTGTTGACGAAATGCCTCTAAATTTATTAGTACAATTGTAAATTGTTTTTGCGGGAAAAAGGGATCAAGTCTCTGGTTAGTGAGGGTGAAGAAATGATGGCTCTTCTATTTTATATACACTGTAGGTGAGTCTTCAGTGTTTTTGTTCGTGGGTTGACATCTGTTTTCATGGAAAATCTTTTCAACTAAAAACATTGGCTTGGAATTTAAATAGATATTTATATTATTGCAATCAAACAATCTTTGTATGTTTTTTATGTGTTTGCTACAAAACCGATTTGCAATTTTGTTTCCCCCAAAAGCATTATGGATGAATTAGTCACTGGAATTCCGATCATTTGGCTCACACTTCCAAGGGTTGAGGAGGCATTAGATTGAGATGGCAAGGGATTTGATGAGGTCACGTGGAGCGACCTATTAGCATGCGGTCACGTGGAGCGACCTAATAACTAGACAACAACTCAGCATCCACGGCCACCTTAGCAAGTTAGGTCAGGTTGGGCACCTCGGTCAAGACTAAGGCCCGAATAGCTTGTGGTGGCCCGATCTACCGATGTGCCACATAGCTCACTTCTAAAAGCTAGTCAGTTGTCTCCGACCTTTTCAAGATCACACCGCACGTTCACAAGCCTTATCCTTATCTCGTCTAGATTGAACGGACTCGATAAGATTTATTAATTCACATGAAGTCCATATCCGAATGCGAAACGGACTCTGAATAATGCGGATTGGGGATTTTGGATGTGTTTCGTGAGGCCTATGACAACTCGTTTATATAAGGGCTTCACATCCAACTTTACAAGGTACGCGTGATATTAGCTCTCTAGCTCTCTTGCTTATAAAGCTCTTTAGCTCGCGCTACACTCTTTGTTAACTTAAGCATCGGAGTGCTCAAACCAGATAAATCACCCCGAGTCCCCTGATTGTGTTCTCTTACAGTTTGACCGACCACTTAAGCAGACCAACGTCTGAACTGCCACCTAATTAGGAGCGACTAGATCGTGCACCATCAGAGAATATATAATCCCAATTTTCATTTACGAGCTGCCATCCAACTAGGAACGACAGAATGCGTACATCATCAGGATTTGTAATCCCAATTTTCATCTAAGGTTTTGAGAATACATTGCCATTGGATTCTATTTTGAAAATTTAAAGAATAAGGAAGGACAAAATAAATGTAAAAGGGTATTTTTAAAAATTAAAAAAAAAATTATACATCACATGCAAATGGATTAAAACGATGTGATAATGGGTAGGAGAGGATTTTGTGAATTAGAAGCCGATGCATCTTTCAAAGAAAGAATGCTTAATGAGCACCCGCATTGACATAAGAAAAACGTAACTGCATATGCAGAGTGATTGTTCATTTCTTCAAGTGATGCCATAAAAATGGCAATGGATGTAAATTGGGCAACCGTTAAACATATATTTGCACCACTATATAACATTTATTTTCCAAGTTAATTGTTGATTAGTAATTTTTCAAATAAAATAAGCCATCCTTATTATATAATTCAAGAAATGTTAAAATCCTTTTGAAAAACTTGGATTTAAGCCAATTAATTAAAACTCAAGGTATATTTCTAAGTTTTTTTATAAAAAGAAAGAGAAGAGCAATGACTTAAAAGCTAAACGCGCGTACGAAAATGGTGGTTTCAAATACATGGATGATGACCTATTTTTAAACCAACCAAAACAACACAATGGAGCCCGTACGATCTTCACGGTGTTTGAGAATCCGTATCCAAATTCACGGATTTGAGCTTTAGTTGCCCAAAATTAATAAAAACTGGGGATCGCAAATTTCCGCAATATCAAAGTTTTTCCTATGAAAAATATTTCAAAATTCAAAAAAGGCTCGAGCATGCAGCAGTCTGACACCGCCTTTTTCTTTTGGTTCACTATCCCGATTTTCGTTTTCGCTAAATAACGTCCACTACCCTGATTAAGTGATTAGCATTAATGAAAGCATTATAGAGTAAAAGAGTAGGTTTAACAATTTTTACGTTTCACATTTCCACTTGCGTTTTAAGCCGTATATTAAGAATGTCCTTGTATTTGATGCTTCGATTCATAGGAAGATATTCAAAATGCACGGCTGCGATGTTGGCGCGCTTTGTGAGGAGAAAATCCCAATCTAATCAATGTTGTCCAACAAGGCAAGAAGAAGAAAAAGATAAGAAACATTTGCATCATGAAAGTTGCATTAACAAAAGGCAAAAAGTAAAGCAACAAAGACGAGAAGGACACAAGGCAGATAGATTTACAGAAAATAAAGACAGGATCGGGGCAAGTGTCTAGGCTCGCCAAAGCCCTTCCCACTCCTCGGTTTTTTTGTCACATTTCAGTGACAGAAAATGACCTTGAGCTCGCGTGGCGAAGAGCACTGATGCATGAGGGAAGGGCTATCGTGCGCGTAGGTGACCGTGGCTGGGCAGGCGTGCTTGAAGAACTCCGCGTAGCTGGACGCTTTGCACGTCTGCGGACTGTTGTAATGGTTCCTGCAGCACAGTTCGTCGGTTCCAAACGCCTCACACCCGCTCTTGCACGCCACCACAGGCCCGTGACCAGGGGGACACCTCAGCTGCAAGCTCTTGGGACAAGTTTCAAGCAGATTAGCCTTGCAACCCACCACTGGACAAACGCCCTTGCCTTCGTGCGGGGTCACCGTCATCGGCAGGTTAAACCCATCCACCAGGCTGACACCGTAGGACGACTGATCGTTGTGGCCATGGTGGAGGCTAAACTGCGCCAGGGTAGCGGGAGTGACCCCACCGGCGCCATTACACTCGAGGCGGCCACCGCAGTCTCCCGTAGCACAGGAGAAGCGGCCGTTGGAGTAGGTACAACCGGTCCGAGCCCACAGGCGACCGGACCAATGGTGAGCCGGAGCGGGGAAGGACCTGTGGGTTAGGGTTTGGAGGGCGAAGCCACCGCGCTCGAGAACGACGTGACCGGCGTTTGGCTGGATGGCAGGCCAAATGGTGAAGGGACAGTTGTTGACCACTGTCAGAATGAAGCCAGGACTCGTAGCATGGGTCAGTGTGGAACGGCACAGGAGGAGGAGGAGGACGAGAGAAAGAGCAAAGAGGAGAAACGAAGACCGAGAAGCAGAAGCTGAAGATGACAGAAGAGTCATCGTGGCTGTGGTCTACTGGTCTGTGGATTGGGGGGTGTAGAAGCCTGAAGCCTAGAAGGCGGAGGGATATGAAACGCGATGAGCTGGGGGCTGGGGACTGGGGACTGGGGACTGGGGTTGATCTATATATAGGCAGGCGCCAGGCGGCATCTGGGTTAGTACGATTTAAAGACGAAAATGCCCTTGCTTGTTCTACTTGCTTCTTTTTGTAAATTTGCTGTTTCGTCTCCGTCCTTATCCTATTTCGTGTTTCCGCTTCTCCGAAGACCTACAGGGCTGCTACTATTATTTTCACAAATGACAATACACATTGCAAATTGATCGTATACTTAAAGTATAACATTTTTGGGTGGTCCTGACTCCTGGTCCAGCTTAGAGTACTCAATACTTTTTACTGTAAAGATGGAACCCATCACAAATTAAGATCTGTATTGTATTCCATTCATTCTACAGGTGAGGTGATGTCTAACACAGGATAATTTCTATGCTAGAAGTTTCGAGGGGTATGCCAAGGGAATAAAGCGAGATATACACAATAGACGGCCACTGTTTATTTTATTTTATTGAGTAAAGGATGAATTTATGATTCATTACTCAAAGGCAAAAGCATAATACCAAGGCAATAGACGAAAAGGCAGGAAGTCTGGGGGCAAACCAAGCCACTCATCCTTGAGATCCATTCTTTACTTTGTGAGAAGTTTGAATCGACTAATAAAGAGTATTTATATGATAAGTTGGTGAAGAAAAAGTAATTAGTACACAGAACACAGACATTTGACAACCATCGGGCGGAGGCGGCTTTTGAGTTTTGAGTCTCACAGTCACAAACCCTCTGCGATGCACATAGAAAGTTAGGTTGATTTAGAGAGAGAGAGATGTGAATTAACACTGAATAGGCACTCACTACTTAAAGATGGGTTAAAAGTAAAAAAGTTAAAAAGAAAAGGCGAGCTTTTTTAAATGAAGGAAATAATAAGAAAAAGGACAAGTTGAAACAGACAGTCACGACAAACATGTTGGGCAAACAAGATAAGCAACGCAGGAACCGAGGTGTTTGTTGTTTAGACTTTTTATAAAAGTAAAAAATAAAAAAGATGCAAGGGAAAAAATCAAGAAATAACATTTTTATTTTTTCTGTTCTCTTTCAAGTTTCAAGGCAAGGTGGGGGTCAGAGGAGGGCCAGGAGAGGGTGTAAGAAAAAGGCTGAGTGAGTGAGTGAGTGGTTATAAACAACACGCACATGGCACATGGCACATGGCTTTGTGGCTTTTTTGGCGGGAAGAGAGAGAGAGAGAGAGAATTATCAGTCCTGACACGGCTCTGATACAGTGGTTCTCATAATTTCACATATCCGGTCAATCTTCTAAACCTCATTCTGTGTTTATTTTGAGGTGTCGTGGTAATAAAATACTGTAAACGTGCTCTTTAAAGAATTTAGAAAGTCACTACCAAAAATAAATATATTAAAAGCAAAGGGGCATTCCGAGAATTGAACTCGGGACCTCTCGCACCCTAAGCGAGAATCATACCACTAGACCAAATGCCCTTTCGATTTTAACTACTATATAACAAGTAATGTCTTGTCAACAGTTCAGGCGCCTCACAGACACATCCCACTATATGCTTGTGAGGAGTAAATCCCAATTCCCTTGTATTGGAAATATCTTCGTACTTCTTTGCTTTATTTCATAGGATAATATTCTCAATGCAAGGCTAATAACAAATGGGATCTACTCCTCACACTTGGGCGCCTCACATGCACATCCACCATATATTGGGAACATTTCCCATGAATAATAATTTAAAAGTATGGGAGATGTTCCCAATGCATGGTAGGATGTGCATGTGAAGCGCCTTATATGAGGAGTAGATTCGATCTCGACTAATAAAGGTTGTTTAGACGGAACTTGCATTGATTGAATCCCATTTCCACTTGTGGCCTCGTGTGACGACTGGTTGCGGCTAGCGCTAGCTCACGACGAATTGGGATTTGCTCCTCACAGAGCATGCCTCACACTGACCTCAAAGTCACATTCCACCCAATATTGGGAATATCTCCCATGAATAATAAATATAAATACGGAGGATGTTACAGGCTGAGAGGTTAGTGTGAGACAAGCTGAGTGTGGAGCAGATCCGGACTCGCTTACTGATGGTGTACGATTTGAGAGCTCCTATCTGGAAGGTTACTTGGGGACTGGTCGCGTAGCGAATTGGTTTGAACAGTGAGGAAACAGATCAGAGAACCCGGGGAGGCTAACCCGTCGAGGTCGCTCCGATGCTTAAGTTAGTAATGTGATATTGTTTTCAAGCTGAAAGTTTATGTATAAGAGAACTAGTGAGCAAGTAATCGCGTGTACCTTGTTTAAGGGGATTCAATGTCCTTATATAGTTGAACTGTCATGAGCCCGAAGGAGCCTCTCCAGGATCTTCAAAGCAGGTGGTAGGAGTCCGTTCCATTTCAGATGGTGGCCAACGCGCTAACTGATAAGGCTTATTGCTTCCATCCGATTTGGGCAGGATGAGGATAAGTCCTACAGTTACGCGATATGATCCCGAAAGGCTCGGGGACAACCACCCAGCTTCTAGAATCCAACTTATTTCACCTTAGTGCATGCGACTACTGAGGTCCCCCAACTCCGGTTCTGTCCGAGGTAATTGAGGTACCCAAAGTGACCCGGTTTGCTAGGGTGGCGAGAAGTGTTGAGTCATTGCCTGGCTGGAAGGTCACATCCACATGTCTTCTATTCATTAGGTCGGGCCAAATCACCCCTCATCAATTGCCCCGCACTCCCCGTGCCAAGGGTCCCGACCCGGTGCGGGGAGTTCATGATGAGGCTAGGTGGAATTGGCCCGAATTCTATTGGTCGGAAGAGAGGTTCTTTGGTCAGACCAGATTGACTCGCTTGGCTCGACCAGGACAACCCAGATCGCATACCAGGCATGCATGGACGTCATGCAGTTTATGAGCTCTGCAGACACCAGAGCACACGCTCAATCGGTTTCCACGAGAGCCGTTGGATTACACAAGATCTCGACCGTGGAACCCTGGCACAACGGCTATAAATAGGGGCATAGAGGGGCCCATTTTTCTCGCCACACATCATGTATCAAAATTCTGAGATTGCGCATTTGTCTCTTGGTCGGTGCCACCTACTCCAGTTTTGTTGAGGTCGCTTCATTCTCTACTTCAGTTCATAGGTGAGTTCGTCATGTCTTCGCTTTCCATTTCTTGTCTATCTTTTCCATGTAGCTCGGAATGTCTAATATTAGCACGGGCAACCTATTTGACTTGAGTGAGGAGTCAGCCGGACTCGAGGTGGGGACCTTGGCACAGGCTGCAGAGTCTCAACCAGCCGAGGTGGATGCCTCAGTACGAAGTTTGGACACCAACCCGTTCGAGCCGGACACACCTTGGCAGGGGTGCGAGGCTTCCGGTAAGGGGGCCAAACAGCTTCAGCCCTTCCACGATAACGGCTGACAGATTCCTGTCCCTGGTAGCTCACTACAAGCTCCCCGACAACCTTGTGTATAGTATTCCCTTAGGAAGGTTTCCTTGGGACCATGGTCGTGACGAGATCATGGTGTTTGACAAGCAACTTGCGGCTGGGGCTGCGTTTCCCACTTCACCCCTTTATCATCGAGGTCGTCAAATTTTTTGACATCGCCATAGATTAACTCCACCCCAACTCGATCTCCCTTTTTCACGACTATAACCAACGCTTGACCCTCAACATTTTTTCTTCGATCTGCTCTATCAAAAAGAACTCCGCCTGTGTCCTCCCGGAGCATAGGCGAAGCTATTACATGTCTACCCGTCCTGGTTACAAAATTTTGCACGACTTCCCCAACAAAGTCCCGACCTGGAAGAAGCGCTACTTCATGGTTCGTAATACTGCGGGGTGGCCATTTCCAACTCACTAAAGGCCTGCCATTCAGGACCCCAACATCAAGTTGGACAAGGAGACACAGTAGTCGCATGTCTCTGACAGCTTAGTGGAGGTTGATGGAGGATGTTAGCGTGTCTCTGACAGTTGTCGCATTTCAACGGCGGGGTGACCATTTCCAACTCACTTTAGATCAGTGGCAGGTTGATGAAGGATGTTAGCGTGTCTCTGACAGTTGTCGCATTTCTTGACGAGCTCGAATACGTATGCCTTCATGGTGGGCCAATAGTACCCTTGTCTTAGTGCCTTTTGGGCTAGCACTCTATCCCCTAAGTATCCTCCGCACAGTCCTTCATGGATGTCACAAAGTACCAATTCTGCTTCTGAAGGCCACAAGCAACGTAGGTAGGGGAGCGTAACGGACCTCTTGTACAGTCGCCTGTCGATAAGGATGCACCGAGTTGATTGACGCTTTACCCTCCGAGTTGCATTGCGTTCTACTGGTAGGGTCTTGTGGAGCAGATAATCAACGAGTGGGTTAATCCAGCTCGGTTCTGCCTATAACACAGGAGTGACCTCTTCTGCCCCCCTGAGAATGCGAGGCAGGTCTTCTATGTATATTGTCCGCATCGTATTGTCACTGGTGCTCGCCAACCGCGACAAGGTGTTGGCCTCAGCGTTCCCAAACCTCAGTATTTGCTTGATGAACCAAGAAAGGAAGCACGACAAGAGTTCCCTTACCTTAGCTAGGTAAGCCGCCATAGTAGAATCTCGAGCTTCGTAGTCGTCGTTGAATTGGTTTACTACAAACCTTGTTGTTCGATGCCCCGAATCCGAACCGGAGAGCATACTCTAGCTTCATCTTGCTCGGCCCATACGGTATTAGTCCAACACAACTTCCTCACTGGTTAGACGAGCCGTCAATGTAGAGGATCCTGGGCTCCTCGTCCCAGATTGGTCCTACCCTGACCAAGACCGGTGCCGTGCTGGTTGACTCTTCCGACATGTTAGCGGCTCAATCAGTTTAGGGGCCTGTGCACTGAACGTACATTCTACTATGAAGTCCGCCAAGACTTGGGCTTTGATCGTTGGCCGTGGCTTGAACCGGATGTCGTACTCACTTAGCTCAATGGCCCACTTTGTCAACCTACCAGACACCTCGGGCTTGAGAAAAACATGCTTCAGAGGTTTGTTGGTAAAGACAATGATGGTGTGGGTTTGGAAG